TTCCCACATCCACAACAAGTGGCTCCATTTCGTTCCATGTGGTTGGCATGATTTGAGCGCCCGAACTCTGCCCGGTACGCCCATTATAGGTGCGCACTCTGCCCCGACTGCCCAACGCACCACTTTGACTGGTCCACTGCATTGGATGCCTCTTTTTTTTTGCTAGTCCTATTTATTAGACTATTTCCCACATCCACAACAAGTGGCTCCATTTCGTTCCATGTGGTTGGCATGACCTCTTTTTTTTGCTATTCCTCTTCATTATACTATTTCCCACATCCACAACAAGTGGCTCCATTTCGTTCCATGTGGTTGGCATGATTTGAGCGCCCGAACTCTGCCCGGTACGCCCATTATAGCTGCGCACACTGCCCCGACTGCCCAACGCACCACTTTGATTGGTCCACTGCATTGGATGCCTCTTTTTTTTGCTATTCCTCTTCATTATACTATTTCCCACATCCACAACAAGTGGCTCCATTTCGTTCCATGTGGTTGGCATGATTTGAGCGCCCGAACTCTGCCCGGTACGCCCATTATAGCTGCGCACACTGCCCCGACTGCCCAACGCACCACTTTGACTGGTCCACTGCATTGGATGCCTCTTTTTTTTTGCTATTCCTCTTCATTATACTATTTCCCACATCCACAACAAGTGGCTCCATTTCGTTCCATGTGGTTGGCATGATTTGAGCGCCCGAACTCTGCCCGGTACGCCCATTATAGCTGCGCACACTGCCCCGACTGCCCAACGCACCACTTTGATTGGTCCACTGCATTGGATGCCTCTTTTTTTTGCTATTCCTCTTCATTATACTATTTCCCACATCCACAACAAGTGGCTCCATTTCGTTCCATGTGGTTGGCATGATTTGAGCGCCCGAACTCTGCCCGGTACGCCCATTATAGCTGCGCACACTGCCCCGACTGCCCAACGCACCACTTTGACTGGTCCACTGCATTGGATGCCTCTTTTTTTTGCTATTCCTCTTCATTATACTATTTCCCACATCCACAACAAGTGGCTCCATTTCGTTCCATGTGGTTGGCATGATTTGAGCGCCCGAACTCTGCCCGGTACGCCCATTATAGCTGCGCACACTGCCCCGACTGCCCAACGCACCACTTTGACTGGTCCACTGCATTGGATGCCTCTTTTTTTTGCTATTCCTCTTTATTAGACTATTTCCCACATCCACAACAAGTGGCTCCATTTCGTTCCATGTGGTTGGCATGATTTGAGCGCCCGAACTCTGCCCGGTACGCCCATTATAGGTGCGCACTCTGCCCCGACTGCCCAACGCACCACTTTGATTGGTCCACTGCATTGGATGCCTCTTTTTTTTTGCTATTCCTCTTGATTAGGCTATTTCCCACATCCACAACAAGTGGCTCCATTTCGTTCCATGTGGTTGGCATGATTTGAGCGCCCGAACTCTGCCCGGTACGCCCATTATAGGTGCGCACACTGCCCCGACTGCCCAACGCACCACTTTGACTGGTCCACTGCATTGGATGCCTCTTTTTTTTTGCTAGTCCTCTTCATTAGACTATTTCCCACATCCACAACAAGTGGCTCCATTTCGTTCCATGTGGTTGGCATGATTTGAGCGCCCGAACTCTGCCCGGTACGCCCATTATAGGTGCGCACACTGCCCCGACTGCCCAACGCACCACTTTGACTGGTCCACTGCATTGGATGCCTCTTTTTTTTGCTAGTCCTCTTCATTATACTATTTCCCACATCCACAACAAGTGGCTCCATTTCGTTCCATGTGGTTGGCATGATTTGAGCGCCCGAACTCTGCCCGGTACGCCCATTATAGGTGCGCACTCTGCCCCGACTGCCCAACGCACCACTTTGACTGGTCCACTGCATTGGATGCCTCTTTTTTTTTGCTATTCCTCTTCATTATACTATTTCCCACATCCACAACAAGTGGCTCCATTTCGTTCCATGTGGTTGGCATGATTTGAGCGCCCGAACTCTGCCCGGTACGCCCATTATAGCTGCGCACACTGCCCCGACTGCCCAACGCACCACTTTGATTGGTCCACTGCATTGGATGCCTCTTTTTTTTGCTATTCCTCTTAATTATACTATTTCCCACATCCACAACAAGTGGCTCCATTTCGTTCCATGTGGTTGGCATGATTTGAGCGCCCGAACTCTGCCCGGTACGCCCATTATAGCTGCGCACACTGCCCCGACTGCCCAACGCACCACTTTGATTGGTCCACTGCATTGGATGCCTCTTTTTTTTTGCTATTCCTCTTCATTATACTATTTCCCACATCCACAACAAGTGGCTCCATTTCGTTCCATGTGGTTGGCATGATTTGAGCGCCCGAACTCTGCCCGGTACGCCCATTATAGCTGCGCACACTGCCCCGACTGCCCAACGCACCACTTTGATTGGTCCACTGCATTGGATGCCTCTTTTTTTTGCTATTCCTCTTCATTAGACTATTTCCCACATCCACAACAAGTGGCTCCATTTCGTTCCATGTGGTTGGCATGATTTGAGCGCCCGAACTCTGCCCGGTACGCCCATTATAGCTGCGCACACTGCCCCGACTGCCCAACGCACCACTTTGACTGGTCCACTGCATTGGATGCCTCTTTTTTTTGCTATTCCTCTTCATTATACTATTTCCCACATCCACAACAAGTGGCTCCATTTCGTTCCATGTGGTTGGCATGATTTGAGCGCCCGAACTCTGCCCGGTACGCCCATTATAGCTGCGCACACTGCCCCGACTGCCCAACGCACCACTTTGACTGGTCCACTGCATTGGATGCCTCTTTTTTTTGCTAGTCCTCTTGATTAGACTATTTCCCACATCCACAACAAGTGGCTCTATTTCGTTCCATGTGGTTGGCATGATTTGAGCGCCCGAACTCTGCCCGGTATGCCCATTATAGGTGCGCACTCTGCCCCGACTGCCCAACGCACCACTTTGATTGGTCCACTGCATTGGATGCCTCTTTTTTTTTGCTAGTCCTCTTGATTAGACTATTTCCCACATCCACAACAAGTGGCTCCATTTCGTTCCATGTGGTTGGCATGATTTGAGCGCCCGAACTCTGCCCGGTACGCCCATTATAGGTGCGCACACTGCCCCGACTGCCCAACGCACCACTTTGACTGGTCCACTGCATTGGATGCCTCTTTTTTTTTTATAGTCCTCTTCATTAGGCTATTTCCCACATCCACAACAAGTGGCTCCATTTCGTTCCATGTGGTTGGCATGATTTGAGCGCCCGAACTCTGCCCGGTACGCCCATTATAGCTGCGCACACTGCCCCGACTGCCCAACGCACCACTTTGACTGGTCCACTGCATTGGATGCCTCTTTTTTTTTGCTATTCCTCTTCATTATACTATTTCCCACATCCACAACAAGTGGCTCCATTTCGTTCCATGTGGTTGGCATGATTTGAGCGCCCGAACTCTGCCCGGTACGCCCATTATAGCTGCGCACACTGCCCCGACTGCCCAACGCACCACTTTGACTGGTCCACTGCATTGGATGCCTCTTTTTTTTTGCTAGTCCTCTTGATTATACTATTTCCCACATCCACAACAAGTGGCTCCATTTCGTTCCATGTGGTTGGCATGATTTGAGCGCCCGAACTCTGCCCGGTACGCCCATTATAGCTGCGCACACTGCCCCGACTGCCCAACGCACCACTTTGATTGGTCCACTGCATTGGATGCCTCTTTTTTTTTGCTATTCCTCTTCATTAGACTATTTCCCACATCCACAACAAGTGGCTCCATTTCGTTCCATGTGGTTGGCATGATTTGAGCGCCCGAACTCTGCCCGGTACGCCCATTATAGGTGCGCACTCTGCCCCGACTGCCCAACGCACCACTTTGACTGGTCCACTGCATTGGATGCCTCTTTTTTTTGCTATTCCTCTTCATTATACTATTTCCCACATCCACAACAAGTGGCTCCATTTCGTTCCATGTGGTTGGCATGATTTGAGCGCCCGAACTCTGCCCGGTACGCCCATTATAGCTGCGCACACTGCCCCGACTGCCCAACGCACCACTTTGACTGGTCCACTGCATTGGATGCCTCTTTTTTTTTGCTAGTCCTCTTGATTATGCTATTTCCCACATCCACAACAAGTGGCTCTATTTCGTTCCATGTGGTTGGCATGATTTGAGCGCCCGAACTCTGCCCGGTACGCCCATTATAGCTGCGCACACTGCCCCGACTGCCCAACGCACCACTTTGACTGGTCCACTGCATTGGATGCCTCTTTTTTTTTGCTATTCCTCTTCATTATACTATTTCCCACATCCACAACAAGTGGCTCCATTTCGTTCCATGTGGTTGGCATGATTTGAGCGCCCGAACTCTGCCCGGTACGCCCATTATAGGTGCGCACTCTGCCCCGACTGCCCAACGCACCACTTTGATTGGTCCACTGCATTGGATGCCTCTTTTTTTTGCTATTCCTCTTCATTATACTATTTCCCACATCCACAACAAGTGGCTCCATTTCATTCCATGTGGTTGGCATGATTTGAGCGCCCGAACTCTGCCCGGTACGCCCATTATAGCTGCGCACACTGCCCCGACTGCCCAACGCACCACTTTGACTGGTCCACTGCATTGGATGCCTCTTTTTTTTTGCTAGTCCTCTTCATTAGACTATTTCCCACATCCACAACAAGTGGCTCCATTTCGTTCTCATGCGCTCTTGCCCTCACGCCCTCATGCCCTCATGCCCTCATGCCCTCATGCCCTCATGCCCTCATGCCCTCATGCCCTCACGCCCTCACGCCCTCACGCCCTCATGCCCTCATGCCCTCATGCCCTAAGGCCCTCATGCGCTCATGCCCTCATGCACTCATGCACTCATGAACTCATGCCCTCATGCACTCATGCCCTCATGCCCTCATGCCCTCCTGCCCTCATGCCCTCATGCCCTCACGCCCTCATGCCCTCATGCCCTCATGCCCTCATCCTTTCATGCCCTCATGCCCTCATGCCCTCATGCCCTCATGCCCTCACGCCCTCATGCCCTCATGCCCTCATGCCCTCATCCCCTCATGCCCTCATGCCCTCATGCCTTCATGCCCTCATGCCCTCACGCCCTCATGCCCTCATGCCCTCATGCCCTCATGCCCTCACGCCCTCACGCCCTCATGCCCTCACGCCCTCATGCCCTCACGCCCTCATGCCCTCATGCCCTCACGCCCTCATGCCCTCATGCCCTCACGCCCTCATGCCCTCATGCCCTCATGCCCTCACGCCCTCATGCCCTCATGCCCTCATGCCCTCACGCCCTCATGCCCTCATGCCCTCATGCCGTCATCCCCTCATGCCCTCACGCCCTCATGCCCTCATGCCCTCACGCCCTTATGCCCTCATGCCCTCACGCCCTCATCCCCTCTTGCCTTCATGCCCTCATGCCCTCATGCCCTTATGCCCTCATGCCCTCATGCCCTCATGCCCTCATGCCCTTATGCCCTCATGCCCTCACGCCCTCATGCCCTCACGCCCTCATGCCCTCATGCCCTCATGCCCTCATGTACTCCTGCCCTCATGTACTCATGCACTCATGCACTCATGCCCTCATGCACTCATGCCCTCATGCCCTCATGCCCTCATGCCCTCATGCTCTCATGCCCTCACGCCATCATGCCCTCATGCCCTCATGCACTCATGCCCTCATGCCCTCACGCCCTCATGCCCTCATGCCCTCATGCCCTCATGCCCTCATGCCCTCATGCACTCATGCCCTCATGCCCTCATGCCCTCATGCCCTCATGCCCTCATGCACTCATGCCCTCACGCCATCATGCCTTTATTCCGTCATGCACTCATGCCCTCATGCCCTCACGCCCTCATGCCCTCATGCCCTCACGCCCTCATGCCCTCATGCCCTCACGCCCTCATGCCCTCATGCCCTCACGCCCTCATGCCCTCATGCCCTCACGCCCTCATGCCCTCACGCCCTCATGCCCTCATGCCCTCATGCCCTCATGCCCTCATGCCCTCATGCCCTCATCCCCTCATGCCCTCATGCCCTCATGCCCTCATGCACTCATGCCCTCACACTATCATGCCCTCATGCCCTCATGCAATCACGACATCATGCCCTGATGCCCTCATGCCATCACGCCCTCATCCCCTTATGCCCTCACGCCCTCATGCCTTCATGCCCTCATGCCCTCATGCCCTCATGCCCTCATGCCCTCATGCCCTCATGCCCTCATGAGCTCATGCCCTCATGCACTCATGCCCTCACGCCATCATGCCCTCATGCCCTCATGCACTCATGCCCTCATGCCCTCACGCCCTCATGCCCTCATGCCCTCATGCCCTCACGCCCTCATGCCCTCATGCCCTCATGCCCTCACGCCCTCATGCCCTCATGCCCTCATGCCCTCATCCTTTCATGCCCTCATGCCCTCATGCCCTCACGCCCTCATGCCCTCATGCCCTCATCCCCTCATGCCCTCATGCCCTCATGCCTTCATGCCCTCATGCCCTCATGCCCTCACGCCCTTATGCCCTCATGCCCTCACGCCCTCATGCCTTCATGCCCTCACGCCCTCACCCCCTCATGCCCTCATGCCCTCATGCCCTCATGCCCTTATGCCCTCATGCCCTCATGCCCTCATGCCCTCATGCCCTCATGCCCTCACGCCCTCACGCCCTCATGCCCTCACGCCCTCATGCCCTCACGCCCTCATGCCCTCACGCCCTCATGCCCTCATGTACTCCTGCCCTCATGTACTCATGCACTCATGCACTCATGCCCTCATGCCCTCATGCACTCATGCCCTCATGCCCTCATGCCCTCATGCCCTCATGCCCTCATGCTCTCATGCCCTCACGCCATCATGCCCTCATGCCCTCATGCACTCATGCCCTCATGCCCTCACGCCCTCATGCCCTCATGCCCTCATGCCCTCATGCCCTCATGCCCTCATGCCTTCATGCCCTCATGCCCTCATGCCCTCATGCACTCATGCCCTCACGCCATAATGCCTCATGCACTCACGCCCTCATGCCCTCACGCCCTCATGCCCTCATGCCCTCATGCCCTCACGCCCTCATGCCCTCATGCCCTCATGCCCTCATGCCTTCATGCCCTCATGCCCTCATGCCCTCATGCCCTCACGCCCTCATGCCCTCATGCCCTCATGCCCTCATGCCCTCATGCCCTCATTCCCTCATGCCCTCATGCCCTCACGCCCTCATGCCCTCATCCCCTCATGCCCTCATGCCCTCATGCCCTCACGCCCTCATGCCCTCATGCCCTCACGCCCTCATGCCCTCATGCCCTCATGCCCTCACGCCCTCATGCCCTCATGCCCTCATGCCCTCATCCTTTCATGCCCTCATGCCCTCATGCCCTCACGCCCTCATGCCCTCATGCCCTCATCCCCTCATGCCCTCATGCCCTCATGCCTTCATGCCCTCATGCCCTCACACCCTCATGCCCTCATGCCCTCATGCCCTCATGCCCTCATGCCCTCACGCCCTCATGCCCTCACGCCCTCATGCCCTCATGCCCTCATGCCCTCATGCCCTCACGCCCTCATGCCCTCATGCCCTCACGCCCTCATGCCCTCATGCCCTCATGCCCTCACGCCCTCATGCCCTCATGCCCTCATGCCTTCATGCCCTCATGCCCTCATGCCCTCATGCCGTCATCCCCTCATGCCCTCATGCACTCATGCCCTCATGCCCTCATGCCCTCACGCCCTCATGCCCTCATGCCCTCACGCCCTTATGCCCTCATGCCCTCACGCCCTCATGCCCTCATGCCCTCATGCCCTCATGCCCTTATGCCCTCATGCCCTTATGCCCTCATGCCCTCATGCCCTCACGCCCTCACGCCCTCATGCCCTCACGCCCTCATGCCCTCATGCCCTCATGCCCTCATGCCCTCATGCCCTCATGTACTCCTGCCGTCATGTACTCATGCACTCATTCCCTCATGCCCTCATGCACTCATGCCCTCATGCCCTCATGCCCTCATGCCCTCATGCTCTCATGCCCTCACGCCATCATGCCCTCATGCCCTCATGCACTCATGCCCTCATGCCCTCACGCCCTCATGCCCTCATGCCCTCATGCCCTCATGCCCTCATGCCCTCATGCCTTCATGCCCTCATGCCCTCATGCCCTCATGCACTCATGCCCTCACGCCATAATGCCTTTATTCCCTCATGCCCTCATGCCCTCACGCCCTCATGCCCTCATGCCCTCATGCCCTCACGCCCTCATGCCCTCATGCCCTCATGCCCTCACGCCCTCATGCCCTCATGCCCTCACGCCCTCATGCCCTCATGCCCTCACGCCCTCATGCCCTCATGCCCTCACGCCCTCATGCCCTCATGCCCTCATGCCCTCACGCCCTCTTGCCATCATGCCCTCATCCCCTCATGCCCTCATGCCCTCATGCCCTCATGCCCTCACACCCTCATGCCCTCATGCCCTCATGCCCTCATGCCCTCATGCCCTCATGCCCTCATGCCCTCATGCCCTCATGCCCTCATCCCCTCATGCCCTCATGCCCTCATGCCCTCATGCCCTCATGCCCTCATGCCCTCATGCCCTCATGCCCTCACACCCTCATGCCCTCATGCCCTCATGCCCTCACGCCCTCATGCCCTCATGCCCTCATGCCCTCATGCCCTCATGCCCTGCTGTGGAGAGGCCGGAAGCGTGAACGACTGCTCAATGCCGTGCTCGGCACAGTAGGCTGCCAAGAGGTCGGAGGAGAACTCACCACCTCTGTCAGAGTGCAAGCGCAGGACAGGAAAGTCCGAGCGAAAACGCTTGCCTAGCTGGAGACGAGCTCTGCTGATCCAGGGGATCAAAACACCAGGGACGTCACCCTTGGTGCGCAAGGGGAAGACCGTGGTGTAGCGCGAGTAGTCGTCAACAACTATCAGGAAGTACCTCTCCTGACTCTGACCACGGACGCGGGCTGGGCCCCACACGTCCATGTGGAGCGTCTGCAAGGGAGCAGTCGTCGGGGGAAAGGAGGAGGAGTGAGGAGCGGCGCGCTGCCGCCCCTCAACACAGGGAAGACAGGGAGGAGCAGGCGAGGGTGGCAGGGGAGGGAGAACCCTGGGAAGACCAGAGACAAGGTGCCGTTTGTGCATGGCACGAAGGCGCTGCACAGACGGGTGGCCAAGTCGGTGGTGCCAGAGGACGGTGTCGTGCGCCAGAGAGCGACACGAGCAGGGGGCCGACAGCTGGCCTGGCGCAGACGCGGACGCGGACGCAGCTACCTGAGGGGACTCAGTGGTCAGTGTGTACAGGTCCGACCCCGGCTGCCGAGTGAAGGTAGCCAGGTGACGGCCCGTCCGAGCACACGTGCAGTGTGTCACGCGCTCGTAAGCAGGGGTGAACTGGTGAACACCCCCGTCCTGGAGCGCACAACCTGCCACCAAGTTCGTAGAGAACGAGGGGAGGTAGAGACCTGACAGTGTGCCTGACGGGACCGCAGGACAGGGAAGAACAGTGGAGGAGGTCGCAATGACCGGACCCCCAGAGGGGTCAGCGAGGGAGACAGCAACTGGCCGAGCAAGCGGCTCAAGGGCAGTGCGGTCACGAAAGAAACAGCGAGAAGCACCTGAGTCCAGGGTGAAGGTGTGCAGTGCCTCAGTCGACTCAGTACCAGGGGAGACAGACTCACTAGCACCTAAAGCGACAGCCTCACCATCACCTGAGGTGGCAGACACGCGAGTACCGGGAGTGGGAGCCTCACCAGCACCTAGGGCAACAGACGTACTAGCACCTAGAGCGGCAGCCTCACTGACAGAAGCTCCCGAACGATGCACTCCAGAGCGACTACCACTACGGCCACCCCGACAGCCCAAACTAGCGTACCACTCACGCGCACGAAGCAGCTGGGGCGAAGGAGGACACGGCAGCTGCACCTGTCCACTACCAGAAGCTCCCGACCGATCCACTCCAGAGCGACTACCACTACGGCCACCCCGACAGCCCCAACTAGCGTACCACGCACGCGCACGAAGCAGCTGGGGCGAAGGAGGACACGGCAGCTGCACCTGTCCACTACCAGAAGCTCCCGACCGACCCACTCCAGAGCGACCACCACTACGGCCACCCCGACAGCCCCGACTAGCGTACCACTCACGCGCACGAAGCTGCTGGGGCGTGAGGGACTCACGCGCACGGCCCTGGAGCTGCATCTGGCCACGCCAGGAGCAGCAGTAGTAGCAGTAGCGGCAGCAACAGCAGTAACAGCAGGAGCAGTGGCAGTGGGAGTAGAAAAGGCAGTAGCAGCAGTAGTAGTAGTAGCGGTAGCAGTGCTGGGCAATGCTCACCAGTGGTCGGCGCGGCAGGCGCAAGACGGTGGCGACAGCGGGGCCGCTACAACTGCAGGGCTGGGCCGGGCCGTAGCAGGGAGCTCCGCGGCAGCTGCTGCAGGGCGAGGCCGGGCCGCGACGGCAGCTGCTCCAGGTGCCAGGGGCGGCTGCTGCAGTGGCGGCGGCTCCAGGGGCCAGGGGCGGCTGCTGCAGCGGTGGTTGCTCCAGGGGCCAGGGGCAGCTGCTGCAGGTGCGGGCTGCTCCAGGGGCGGCTGCTGCAGGTACGTGCTGCTCCAGAGGGGGCTGCTGCAGTGGCGGGCGGCTCCAAAGGCGGCTGCTGGAGTGGCGAGCGGCTCCAGGGGCTGCTGCTGCAGTGGCGGGCGGCTCCAGGGGCTGCTACTGCAGTGGCGGGCGGCTCCAGGGGCTGCTGCTGCAGTGGCGGCTGCTCCAGGGGCTGCTGCTGCAGTGGCGGCTGCTCCAGGGGCGAGAGGCGGATTAGGTCAGGGCGACGCGGCGAGAAGGGCGACGCGGCGGGCAGGTGGCGACGCGGCGGGCAGGTGGCGACGCGGCGGGCAGGTGGCGACGCCGCGGGCAGGGCGACGCGGCGGGCAGGTGGCGACGCCGCGGGCAGGTCGACGCGGCGGGCAGGTGGCGACGCCGCGGGCAGGGCGACGCGGCGGGCAGGTGGCGACGCCGCGAGTAGGGCGACGCCGCTAGCAGGTGGCGACGCCGCGGGTAGGCGACGACGCCGCGGGCAGGCGCCGACGCCGCGGGCAGGCGACGACGCCGCGGGCAGGCGCCGACGCCGCGGGCAGGGGACGACGCCGCGGGCAGGCGACGACGCCGTGGGCAGGCGACGACGCCGCGGGCAGGCGACGACGCCGCGAGCAGGCGACGACGCCGCGGGCAGGCGACGACGTCGCGGGCAGGCGACGACGCCGCGGGCAGGCGACGACGCCGCGGGCAGGCGACGACGCCGCGGACAGGGGCTACGTCGCGGGCAGGCGACGACGCCGCGGGGAGGCGGTGACGCCACGGGCAGGGCGACGCGGCGGGCGGCGAGAGCCTGCAGGGGCGGCGTGCGGTCGTGCAGAGGCTGCGCACTGGCCTGACGGACCTGCAGGGGCGGCTCGAGAGCGCACGAGGGCGCACGAGGGCGTACGAGGGCGCACGAGGGCGCACGAGGGCGCACGAAGGCGCACTAGCAGAGAAAGGTGAACGAGGGCGCACGAGGGCGCACGAGGGCGCACGAGGGCGCACGTAAGGTAGAGCGCACGAGGGCGCACGTAAGGTAGGGCGCACGAGGGCGCACGTAAGGTAGGGCGCACGAGGGCGCACGTAAGGTAGGGCGCACGAGGGCGCTTCTAGCGGAATAGTGGGCCCATTGGAGAAAGCGGTCCTAGGTAGCAACCTAGGCTCGTGATACCATGTTAGAATCTGGAATAGAACGAGGATGAATGAACTAGCAGGAAGGTGGGTACAAGTATGAAACCCTAAGTTTGTGTACCCTCTAAGGCTAGACCCACTATAGCCTACACAATATAAACATACAATGTTTGACAAGAAGCGCTCACAGTGAGCGTTTTTCTTCTACCAGGTCACGTGGCTGGGCTTGTCTAGGCCTCTTGCCAAGCCAGCAAGGGCGTGGAAGGGTTGCTAGCATCATTGGTCATCGGCCCTTGAGAATGAAGAGCGCCCGCTGCACTTCCTCCACATGTGTGGATCCTAGCGCGTTTTGAGGCTAGAAGCGCTCGCAGTGAGCGTTTTTCTTCTACCACGTCACGTGGCTGGGCTTGTCTAGGCCTCTTGCCAAGCCAGCAAGGGCGTGGAAGGGTTGCTAGCATCATTCGTCATCGGCCCTTGAGAATGAAGAGCGCCCGCTGTACTTCCTCCACATGTGTGGATCCTAGCGCGTTTTGAGGCTAGAAGCGCTCGCAGTGCGCGTTTTTCTTCTACCAGGTCACGTGGCTGGGCTTGTCTAGGCCTCTTGCCAAGCCAGCAAGGGCGTGGAAGGGTTGCTAGCATCATTCGTCATCGGCCCTTGAGAATGAAAAGCGCCCGCTGCACTTCCTCCACATGTGTGGATCCTAGCGCGTTTTGAGGCTAGAAGCGCTCGCAGTGAGCGTTTTTCTTCTACCAGGTCGCGTGGCTGGGCTTGTCTAGGCCTCTTGCCAAGCCAGCAAGGGCGTGGAAGGGTTGCTAGCATCATTCGTCATCGGCCCTTGAGAATGAAAAGCGCCCGCTGCACTTCCTCCACATGTGTGGATCCTAGCACGTTTTGAGGCTAGAAGCGCTCGCAGTGAGCGTTTTTCTTCTACCAGGTCCCGTGGCTGGGCTTGTCTCTTGCCAAGCCAGCAAGGGCGTGGAAGGGTTGCTAGCATCATTGGTCATCGGCCCTTGAGAATGAAGAGCGCCCGCTGCACTTCATGCACATGTGTGGACCCTAGCACGTTTTGAGGCTAGAAGCGCTCGCAATGAGCGTTTTTCTTCTACCAGGTCACGTGGCTGGGCTTGTCTAGGCCTCTTGCCAAGCCAGCAAGGGCGTGAAAGGGTTGCTAGCATCATTCGTCATCGGCCCTTGAGAATGAAGAGCGCCTGCTGCACTTCCTCCACATGTGTGGATCCTAGCGCGTTTTGAGGCTAGAAGCGCTCGCAGTGAGCGTATTTCTTCTACCAAGTCGCGTGGCTGGGCTTGTCTAGGCCTCTTGCCAAGCCAGCAAGGGCGTGGAAGGGTTGCTAGCATCATTCGTCATCGGCCCTTGAGAATGAAGAGCGCCTGCTGCACTTCCTCCACATGTGTGGATCCTAGCGCGTTTTGAGGCTAGAAGCGCTCGCAGTGCGCGTTTTTCTTCTACCAGGTCGCGTGGCTG